CCCGGGACCCCCCCTTCCGATAACAAACCCCTGGCACCCCCAATTCCCCCCATCCCTTGGGGCACAGGCTGTACGCCACCCTCCATGCAGCCCTGGCAGGACCATTCCCATCCCACCCATACCAAACCCCTCAAAAATCCTAATTCTGAGTCTGGGCAGCCCCGTGCCTCAGCCAGACACCGTGATGGGGGGGGAGTTCAGATGAAAGGGGGGGGACATCTTGGCCTCACCTCCACTCCCGGCTTCCCTTCCCAGGTACCATTTGGGGTCTCCTGGGGGATGCTCTCCCATCTCCTCCTGCCTAAAAACAAATGGGGAGATCCCCATCCTTTCCGGCACTAAACCTTCCTGGGCAGCGAGGGCTCCAATGGTAGGAATCTGAACAGAAATAATCTGTAAGTGAACGTACAGGGGTGTGTATAGACATGTGTGCATACCCATAAGAGAGGCTTAAGGGAGATGTATTGCACAGAACAAAGTAATGCCAGCAGTATAAAAACATTTAGCTGTGGGGAACAGAAACGACCCTGCAAAGGGCCTGGCAACTTCTTCCCTTGTGCCCCCGTCTCAGGCTCAGCCTGCGCTGCCACAAGCACAGGCAGTGAAATCCCCACCGAGGGATGCTCTGCAGGCCCACCAATGCCTGAGAGCTCGGGGTGCAATTAAACACAAGGGGTTTTTTAAAAAAAATTAAAAATCATTACCTGATGCAACATGTGACGCAGAGCCTATGTGATATACAGCTCTCCCTGAGTAAAATTAAGGCTTAATATAATTTAAGAACAGTAATAATGCCCCCTTCTATGGGATTTCTTCATCCTTAGGTGATGATGACGAGATTTTGGGAACTTAAAGGCTTGGTCCTATAGGAGTAGGGAGGCTTTACGTGGAAATGGCTTCCCTAGGCCACAAAAAGGCAGCTTTGATTTCATTTCCATACAGAGCTCCCTGCTGCGCCCCGTTCTGTCTTCCTCGGCCAAGACAAACTCCGAGACGCTTTTAGCTTTATTTAATGACGTTCAAGTAAGGTGCAAGGAAGTTGTTTTACTTGATCATTTACAACACCCTTACCCTAAGCTTTCTGTATTTCCTATGTTAATGACACGGTGGCACTTTGCCCCCGGCGAGTCAAAGAGGACTCGCTGCCCTTTGAAGGGATGCTACAGCTCAAGACTGCGGGACATTTTCTCTTGAACTTTTGGTGGCTGTAGATTGCGGTGGTCCACAACAGCACCAGGACCCTCTGGCTAGACTCTCCCCGCCCCCAAGGTCCCTCTGCATTTCCCCCCTAGATCCCAGTGTTTCAGCCCCTCATCATCTTCTTAATATCTTCTTAATAACTGTCCCGGGCTAATAGTGACCTTCTCACAGCTGAGGAGCTGACACGGAGAAGCTGATTGCGCCAGTGAGGATAAGCAACATGCCTTCATCAGCTGCTGTATGGAAAGAAAAATAAAAAAAAATGTTTCAGCAAAGATTAATCGGTATTGAGGTTTAATCTGTGGCTGCCCTATTGCTTTTTTTGCTGGTGGAGACCTCAAAGAAAGGGGGCAAGACGCACCCGAGGCAAGAGGCACCCGAGGCAAGAGGCACCCAGCCGCTGGCAGCAGCTCCCTGCCCAGGGGATGCTCAGCTCCTGGCTCCCTTCCAGACACCAGCATCACGGGATGGATGTCACTGTGCCTTATCCCCCTGCCTGCAGCAGGCAGCTGCGATGGGCACAGCTGGGTATCCCTGTCCCCATCCCGTTGGAGCATCCCTCATCTGCAGGCAGGAAGAGCAGAGGTGACCCTGCTCCTGTGCAAGCCAGGGTCAGGGCTGGGCACAGAGGTCCCTGTGTCTTGCAGTGCCTGTCCCCATCATAAGAAGTGACAATCAAGCGCCAAGTGCAAGCGTGACTTCTCCCGGCAGCGAGGCTGCCTGCTTTATTTAGAAACGCCTTCACGTTCCCTCCCGTCGCGTCTCCAGAACACACATGCGCCTTTCCAGGATTAACTCACCTACTAAGGGCCTTCAAAGGCTTTAAAACTTTGTGTTCCCCTGGATTTCAGGCCGACAAGGATCAGGCTGCTGGCCCTTCCATGGCCTTATTGCTATTGCATCTGCAAGTCAGGGTCACAGACCCTTCCCCTCTCCTGTGCAAGCTACGGGGTAGCTCCGAGAACCAGCCACTCTGGGAAATCCTGGCCATTTCTGGTCCCCTTCAAGGATCACCGGAGCATCCTATGAAACCCTGGTTGGAGGGGAAGCTTCCAGGTGTGGCTTGGGAGCTGGTTCTCCTGTTACCTGGGAAGAAGAGCCGAAACAATCCCTCTCACCATGGCAAAGGGAAGGGAACTGCTTGCATCCTATTCAAATCAGGTGTCAATGCCGAGAGGATCCTCTTAACTTCCACCGGCTTGTCTGAGGCTGGCTGCTACTGGGGGACGTTTCATCTCCCTCCTGTCTAATCCATGGAGATGTGTGATATAGCATAAGCTAATATAATAGGTCATGCAAGGATTTACATCTCATTACTGCAGGTTAGAATCCTGGGAGGAAGGATGAGTCATTCCCACTTGAATATATTTCAGGGATAAGGAACAGTTCAGCTGCCCCAAGGAGAGCAAATGGGAAATCAGCCGCCCCGAAGCATCACTGTGGGCTCGATCACCAGTCCTCTGCACCCTCCCAGTTCCCCCCGGATGGGACACCGGGCCTCCCCAGGAAGGGCATGGCCCAAAGAGCCAAAGGGATGGAGCACTGCCAGCAGCCACAAGACCTTGCTGGAAGTCCTTGCCTTTGCCTTTTGCTCCATCCCTATAAAAAGCAGCTCCCCAGCCACCCCGGGGCTGCAAGAGGCTGGCAAAAAACAACCTCATGGTTGGCCTCCGTGGGGCATGTCCGGCTGCCGGTGAGTGAGCATCCCTGCCGCGAGCCACCGAGTCCTGGCCGCTGCCTGTAAAGGCGTGCTAATTTTCACCTAGATGCTTCGGCCAAGCATTTCTGCTCATCAAGAGGTGTTTTCTCTTAGTTTCTCAGACAGGGAGGCTACATGGTAGCTGACCCATCTAACCCAGCTGGAAAAAATCGGTCCTGACTTCAAGTCCCTTGCTGTTAGTGAATGCTTAGATAGAAATCCGGACAGAGCAAAGCTCCTAGGACCAGCCACATCAGAAGTCTGCTCTGAACCGAGCCGAAGCTCAAACCTGCCCAGCATCTGAGGGCAAAGAGGCAAAGCTTGGATGCTTTTCCTCCTCTCTGCCCCTCTTTTCATCCAGTCCTTCTCTGACTGACAGCCAAAACTTGAATGCATGGTTGGTGACGGGAGGCCTGCAGAGCGCCTGGGCTGCTCAGCCTATTCCTAAGCCTAATTTCTAACCTCATTTCAGGCTTGCAAAAGCTCACTGTGGGTTAAAATTAATTTTCCCCAGGTTGTCCACGGAAAAGTGCTTAGGGGGTCTGCAGGTTGGCATGAAAGAGAAAATCATCGCTGCAAAGGGTTGGTGGGAGTCACAAGCAGGCAGCTCAGTGTTGACTCGGGGTGGGCAGCAGCCCCAGGGGCATCTGTGCGGGGGTGAGATGCTGTGGCTGATGCTGGCTTGTGCCAAAAGGTGCCTGGGATGGGTCTCCCTCAGCCCCATGGCTGGGCGGAAAGGCAATGTGCACCTTCAGATGAACGAAGGGGAACTGCCGGCATTCGGGGGGCTCTGCCCTGCTGGGATTTAGCCATAGCCCCGGAGAACCTTCACCAGGATAAAATCCCCTTGTATCACCCTCAAGAGTGAGCTCTGGTCCGTAACAGCAGTGGTCACTGCCTAACTGCTGACTGGATTGTTATTATTTTTTTTTAATTTTAATTTTCCTTTTAAGACAAATTTTTGCCTGGCACTACCTTGGCCAAGGGGGGGAAGGGAGAAGACGGGTTGGTGTCCCCTCTCTCTGTTGCTTTATCGCTTCACAGCTGTTCTATCATCTTAATCTGCGGAGATTGTCTTTACATTTCAGAAAGGAAACGATTTCGCGCAAGCTGGGATTGGGGTTTGGATCCGTGCTCACTTTTTGTGAGCAGAGAAGAAAAAAGGGAGAAATGTATGTTAAAGGCAGGCCGGCCATCTGGAAGGGAGGTGCATGGCTGATGCCATTTAATTGCTCGAAACCCAAGATCAATGGTCAAAGGGAGTGAGAGTGGGGGTAGGATGGGAGCCAGGAGAGCTGGAGGGGCCGAGGGAATTACGGAACGAAATCAATGCCTGCGCTGTCCTTGGCCTCCTGATTTAAAAGGCGATGGATGAACGCATGGGATCCCTGAGCTGGCTCTGGTACATCAGCGAGGCAGCGCTTGTGGGGACGGGCAGCAGCTTTTATTAGAGTTTATTAATGTCATTGATACCACTAGGAAAGAGAGCGGTGGGGGCATGCCGGCCCTTAGATCGACCAGCAAACAAGAGTTGTGACCCGTGGGTGGTACACAGGGCTTTTCAGAGCCCTAAATCCTGGCTTTTCCTCCAGCCAGACACCCGGGATGGGGAATAGAGGGGGGAAAAAGGTGTTTCCGCGGGTTCGCTCGACCCTCGGTGGGGTAAGGCAGCCGGGCACCGTGGCTGTTCCCGGACGGGGGGCATAGGGCACGCTGGCAGGGTGGGCTCAGGGCAGCCCCCA